GGTTTTTTGGGAAGCCTGTGTGTAGGAGTGTGTCTTTGCTGTGTGTACAGAAATTTTCCTGCACCTCTAGGTATTACTAGTTTCTGGCTTCTTCATGAGGTGACTCATTCACAAGAGCTGTTTGGTGGAGCAGTTGACCTGCACAGCCTGGTAACATCTATCTAAGATGGCTTAGACACACCAGAGGAGGCAAGGAACAGTGAAAGGCCAATCCACAGAGCTCTCTTCCATTTCAGAGTTATTTGAAGCCATGTCACATGGAGCAGGGAGAGTGCAGAAGACAGGCTGAATGTGGTGGCAAGCTAAATACGGGTCATGTGCTAGAGGAATTCAGCTGGAATTTTTGTCCTGGAAGGGACATTTTGAAAGCCAGCTGACTTGTTGAGGACAGCAACAGGAGCTCCTGACATAAATAGCTTTTCCCTCTTGGCTGTCTGTTGGTGGCCCATGACTTGTAGCTGCACTCAGCCTCTGCCACTCAACAGGTGTGTCCCAATTACACAAATAAGCACAGTTGGTGTCTATCTTAGCCATCCTTGCCATAGGGCCAAGGTTGAAAGTGGGGCTTAGCCACTGTGACCTGTTTGTTCCTCTGTATGACCCTTCCAGTCAGGCCTGAGGCAGGCTGGTGACAGCTTTTATGCAGACAGCAGATTTTGTCCACAGAAGAGATTCAGTCTCAGCAGGTCTCTGCAGACTTTCATTTCCAGATGAACTCTTCAGTACTTAAAATGTTGCAAAATGTGAAGGACTTCAGCGGGTTAGGATGCCCCATGCGGCTGGGAAAACACACAGTATGACATGTTGGTGTTATCTTCTGTAACACAGTATATATTGTTGCAGGCACCACTGTTTCGGCACATGCTGAAATTGTAGACGGACAGTAGAAATCTCCCTGGGATGCAGTAAAGCTCTTGCTACTGCAGAAATGCCATTTCTGCAAAGGACTTTAGCTGGGGAGGGGATTGTTGAAGGCAAAATCTGCTGGAGGTGAAGCTTTAGGAGGTGATGTGCTTAGCCTCTGGCTGAGTGATGCTTTCATTGCTTTGTTTTGGGGCCCAGGCCAGCAACTGCCATGGTAGCTGAGGTCACCTGGGTCAGTGGTGCTGCAGAGGGACAGTCGCAGTCTCTCACTTCAGCAGCTGGGAAGTGGGCTCCAGAAGGAATATTACATTTCTTTTGGTAACTCTGCCAAGAAAGAGAGGAAATTCATAATTTGAGCAAAATACTTTTAGCTTTTTCTGTAGGGTGGGATGAGGTAGGAAAGGGGAAATGAAACATCCTTCATAATGGGTTGCTTGGGATGACTTTTCTCCTGGAACTTTCTCTCAGGCTGTGAGAAACATTCAGCTTCTCTTTCTTAATGTAACAAAGTCTTTGTAAAGGGAGCTTCCATCAGGAGCGTGTGCAGTTGGAAACACGCATTAGCTCAGATCATGTATTGCGCTGTATGGTTTGGGATCCTGAGAGTTGCTTTTTGGATTAAGCAGCTAATAACAAATATAGCTTTGTATGGCCTGGGTCATGTAACTATCAGCTGTTGGTAATTGTGATGCCCTCGCAGAGGTATAAGACGATGCACTCTGATGAGTTTTAAGAACATTTTGCTTGAATTTCGTTGAGTTTTCACATTCAGTGTTCACTGGTTCCTTCATCCTGGGTTCCCTGTCATGCTTCTAGGATGTTGGACAGTGCTTCAGTTGCTTTCTGATGCAGGGCTGTGAAGGTCCTGCTAAAAATAGCAGTCCTTCCTCAGTGAGTCAGCCTTGAGCAGTCTTGAAGTTGAGTGTTGGGTGGCTTCTCTGGAATACGAATACCAAGATCTTGATTTCACAGCATGTACTGAATTTTAAGTTTGTGACTGAGTATTTTGCTGGATTGCATACAAAGGTCAAAGTATTCATTGGCTGGTGGATAGTGGTCCCTGCACAGCATTTCGCATAGGATTTAGCTTCATAAGGTGGTTCACCTTACTGAATCTTTGGATGTTCAACACAGTTGCTGAAGTGAGAAATACCTGGTTAAGCCAACCACTCAGTATAGATGTGTGATGTCTGTTGATTGCCTCAGGTCATGGAACAATTCTGAAGAGTTTGCATGTATAGGAAGTGTGTTGGTCATGATTGAAGCAAGATAGTCTCTTGTAGGGGAGAAAAGGATTTTTTAATCAAATGGTTAAGTTTATATGGTGATGCCCTTCTTAACTTTCTAAGATTTGTGAGCTGCTCTTATGCATTGCTGTGATGCTCATCACATTTTTTATGTATTCTGGGAATTGCTCTGAGGGATGTTGTTGAGGAAGCAAATCAAATTATCAAATTATATCTCAGGACTTGATTCCATCACTGGGTTTTATTTAACTTATCTTCTGATATAGGGGATTGAATGTCTGACCAACACTTGAAAATCATTGTAGTTCAGTCTCTGCTGCCCTGTTGGCAAAGGGCAGGGATGTATCAGTCCAATGTCTGTGTCACCTTTCCCCATGTGTTCTGTCCCTTTACTTGCCTCTATTTTGAATAAGTAAAATGTCTGGAAAATAAAAGGAGGATACTTTTAAGACATGTTTAAATTAGATGAGTCTAGATTTGCTGCATGGAGGAGGAAGGCTGAATGAATAATATATCTATTAACAGTTAAACAAACAAAAAGACAAAACAGCTTCCCCAAAACCCCACAAGACTTCCCCCATATAGTCCTTCCTACCCAACCATTGTCTCTTCCAGTCAGAAACTATTGATTTGTATGAAAGAGGAGAGGTGTCTGTTACAGGAATAACGGCAGGAGTGAACTAGTACTCTGGGCCAAACCAGTGCATGATTCTCTTCTGAAATTCCACTTGCCGTAGCAGGAGGATCAAGGCCTGCCCCCCAACTAGAAAAGTTACCAGCAGTGTAAGATGGAAGCTGCTTTTTTGACCTCGGATTCACCTTTTTCAGAGCCTTGGAAATTACATCTAGTCTTAGTAGGGTTTGTGCATTGAGCTCAGGATGTCTGGTTGGGTCAGTATGTGTTGGGAGGGGGTTGTGGCGTGAGTGCGTTTTCCATCACTGTGCAAACTGGTGACTTCAAATCTGTACGTGGGGAGAACTTAACTGAGGGTTGAGTGTGGGGAGGAGAAGTGTTTTGGAGTAATGAATGGAATTGGATGTAGGCGGAGAGCCTAAACTCTGTCTGGGAGAGTAATAAGCCATGAGGAGGCTGCTGGACCTGACCTGACTTTTCAGTGCTGTGCATTCCTCATCTCAGACACTATCTAGCCCCATGAGCTCCTGCAAGTGCTCCCTTTAAAAAAGGAATTCCTGTTCTTGCAGCCTAGGCTAACTATATTTTGGGTTTAGTTTTTTTTTGTTGCTGTTGTTGTTGTTGTTTTTTGTTTGGTTTTAAATGGCTATGAGAAATAAAGAGCTTGTAGCTTTCTAAATTCAGATTTATTTGGTGTGGCTCTACTGATCATAAACTTATAGTTGCAAAGCTTTCTAGGGGTCGTAAAGCTTTTCTGTGTGTGGTTTATGTTTTTGTTTAAAATGGGTCACATGCCCAGGAATGCAGTCAAGTTATAATGGTGACTAAGTGCCGGAAAGCATAGAAAAGAGGAGAGAAGGGTGAGCAGAAAAAAAGGAGCCTGAGGCTATGGAAGGAAGGCTGGGAAAATAAGAATCTGGCCAGACCTCAGGGCCAGGTTAGAGATTCCTACACCCATTAACAACCAGAGGAGATGTTTATTTACAGGGAGCTAATCTTTGTTTTAAAAATGACAGAGTAACCAAAAATGCCACTTTTGGCAAGTGGACTGGGGGGACTCGGAGGGATGGGGGAACTGGTTCTCATCAGGCACCAGTTCCCATCTCTCAAGGGTCTTCCCATTATCCTATGCATCTGGGAACATTGGCTGGTGCCTGAAAATGGAATAAACTCTTCTAGTCTAGTAAGTGGTTCATAACTTCTAGTTATAAAGGATAACTCCAAGAGTTTCTTCTTGTTTGTAGTTTTCTAGTCTTTTCTACCTAAGCAGCTCCACCAAGGATATTGAGTAATTAAATTTATGATATGAGAAAGATGGGAGCTAAAGCTGCATTTCCCACCCTATTTAATCAACTCTGGATCATGAAAGCAAAACAGTTGTTGTACAGCTGCTTGAACTGAGCATGTTCATGTAGACTCTAAAAAGACCTTGTTCCCAGATCTCTGTGGTACCTACTTTTTGTCACCTCTTGAACTGTGTTAATCTTGGTTTGTCTCAGCTCATCCCAATAACTTTAATTTGTATTCTGGCAAGTGTTGATGAACTATAATCTCTCTTTTAGTAGCTTTGTCTGACTGTAAGTAGAGAATTTTCCAGTGATGTGGTGAGCTGTCCTTTGGTGAGCTGCTGCAAAAGATAGTTTGTCTTGGGGTGTGTGTGCTTTGGATTGTTTATACAGGTCAATGTATTTTATCTTTAGTTTGAACATATCTTGATTTCTGATTATTATATCTGGTTATGTTATTGTCAGACAGGTGAGACTCTGAAGGAGTTTCTTTACTAGTCATTCTGGATGGACACACTCCTCTGGCTTCTAGTTTCAGTGTTCTCCTGAATAGTGTTTCCTCCATCTGTTCTTGCGTGTTGTCGTCCTTGTCTTAACTGACTTTTTTTCAGTCTCTATTAAAAGAGTGATGCCCTGTTTCTCTGATAGTTTCTTTCTGTGTCATCTTGTTTGGATTACATTTTGCCTGAACCTCTGTTGCATTCACTATACTTGATCAAGTTTTAATCAGATTTCTAGTGATAATCAGAGGTGGCTTTCTATGCTGATAATCCTTCACTCTGCTCAGTGTTCCTTTCTTGTCAGCTCTCATGAATGTGCTTGCTGTAGTGTGGCTCTGCCACTTTCAGTGTTTGCCAGTTCATCATCTGTAATCCAGAGTGAGAGCTTAGAGTACCAGCTTGAGTGCATTTGTTGTCTGGATAGCGTCGGTCCTGGCTGCTAATCTCATTTCTCTTCCTCTGTCTGCAGAGCTGCTGGCATTCCCATGAAAGAAAGGGTGAAGGTATCACAGAACTGGAAGCACGGACGCTGCCGGAGGGAGACAGTCCTGAAATGGAAATGCAAGCAAGTGGCTTCTTTCTCTTCTGCTTTGTTCTGTCAGCTGCTGCAGGACCTTGGGTTTCTGCCTGTGTCCTGAAATGAGATGTTTCCTGCTCCTTGTGATCCACAGGGTCTTAAAAGTGATGTTCCTGGCTGTTGCTGGCTAGATACATGCGGGGTTAACTGGAGTTGCTGTCTTGCCCTAGGGATTCACACCGAGTGTTGAGAATTTCTTTCTCAGTAATTTGAATTTGTCATTGTTCTGATCTCTACAGTTCTAGTCAGATTTAGTAATCTTTATTACAGACTTCAAACTGTTGCGTTCCTATCTACTGCTGTATATGATGAGCAGTTTTCTATCCTTCCCTCACAATGAGCATACATTGATCCCAGATGTGGACTTCGGCATCCCCTTAAAATGCTTAGTGTGTTTCCTGTGGTTTATCCTGCCCTGGATTTGGATGTACAAATCTAAAATGCTAATTACCATTCTTCTGCCTTAGGCTTCTTCATTCTCATATCTTATTCTTCTCTCCTTCACTTAAAAAAAATGTATATTTGATATTAATGAGAGGAGGTAGTTGTTAAATTGTTTGCAAAGGTGTACTTGGCTTTCAAAGCAAAGCATAAGATAAGTCTCTTGTCTGAACAGCAAATCTAAATCTTCAGCCTTTGTGACATCAGACTGAAGGAAAAATGAGAAACACTATGGTTTGTTAGCTGCTGAAGAACAAGGACCTTCTACTAAGCTTTCATGCCTTTTTGTGCTGTGTAGATTGAAGTCATGGATAATGTGGCACTTCTTGTCTAAAGTCCTGGGAATAGCTGTAATGAGCAGAATCGGTTTTGGTGCAGGTTGTATACCTGCCTTTGAAGTGCTTGCAACCATCTGTGAAGACAGGCTCTGTGGATGGTAAAGATCATTACTAAACCACCTTCCCAAGTGAAAAAGCAAGGACTGATTTAATGAGGCCACCATCCAAATGGCATCCTCTAATTTTCATTTATCCTGCTTCAGATTTGTTATTTCTCCTTATGAAAAAGCCATAGCAAAAGGTAAAAAGCTAAACTGCAGCAGAAGGAGAGCCACAGAAACTGGCTGTAGTCTAGGTAAGCTGGATATTCACTTGCTTTTAGAGGACTGCGTAGGAGTGGAGGAAGGAAGGGGAAATCAAAGCCCACCTGAAAACAAAGCTGCCTCTCTAAAGATGCCTCTTTATTTTTTCCATGCATATGATCAAGTCCCAGATGCTTGGTCAAGTCCCAGACTGCTTTGTCTGTGTGACTTAAAAGCCTGTTATTGGAGGTGAATACAGGCAAGCAGGAGGAACCTTCTATCTAATGATCAGTCTTGTCCTCTTGATTTTTTCTAGTTGTTCATTGTGGTATTACAAGGTACAGCTGTGTGTAATGGCTCTGATGACACTGAAAATTATGACCTCTGAGGATGAATGATCTGAAAAAAAGAAGGAGACAAGTTTTTATGAGAAGCCCCTATGCTTTCAAAACAGTTTGTTCCTGAATAGTTTGAAAACTGAAAGGCTGCTCTATGGAAAGGCTATGGTTTTGCTCTGTGTTTCCATGGGTACTAGTGCACAGACTGCAGAGTAGAGACATTTCATGCGTCCATGCCTCACAGGACATGAGCCTCATGTCTCTTTGTATCTAGCCTTGCTATATCCAGAAATATTATTTGCTGATTCTCTGGTGGCTCCACAAAACCAAGATCTTGTGCAAAGGTCTTGTTGCCTAAGTGTGCGTTGTAGCCTGTTTCCTTCTGTATTTCGGTTTTGTTTCAAGAATAAATAAACTTCTCATGAAGATGGACTTGATTCAGGTGTTGCTCAAGTGTCTTCTCTTCATGCTTTATTTCCTGGGAGATCAAGTTTTCCACTTTTAACATCAATCTTCAAAATACATTGGAACAGTTTTTTTGGCAGTCCACTGATCTTGGTTTGGAACCTGCCACTGTCCCACAGGTTGCAGGGGGCAGAAAGGGTGTATGGGCTCTTCTGACAGATGTGCAACAGAAATCAAGAGCATTTGGCTCAGCAGTGGAAGAGGTGTGAATGTAGAAAAACACCTCGTCTGCATGATGAGCATAAAGTTGTTCGGCAGCCTCAGGCTTACCTGCTGCTTTACATATCAGCATACGCAGAATGCAGGAGGTGGATGACTTTGTCTGTAGGAAGACCTGTGATGTTTGACGTGACCTGCTCTCCTGCTCAGATGTGTGCTGAACCATGGCAGCTTTGTGGTCTCTGCTGGACATCAGCAAACAGTGTGCAGGATCAAGACTTACTGTTAGCACCAACAGCCTCGTATTGAAGGCCCTGTCAGAAGTGCTCAGCATAGCTCACCAGTGCCTTTGAAGAAAAGTACAGGGCTCATGTGCAGGCTCAGGGACCCTTAAGTATTTGCTATATAAGCTCACTAGACTTTTAGCCATCCTCTCTCAGAGATTCCACGCTTCCTTTCCCTCAGTTCTTGGTTAGAAAAATGCCAGCAATGTAACCTGCTTTGTGTGTTGCTGGAGAAGCTTCACCTGTTGCTGTGCTACTGTATTCAACCCTGCTTTTGTGTGTGACCTGCAGCTCCAACTTGAGTTTTCTTGAGTGGGCATTTGTTTTTGTTGGTATGTTTACATGTGCAAACTCTTCATTTCTCTTTCTGTATGAGGCTGTTCTGTTTCCTTCTCCCTACTCCTTCATGCCCCTAACCTGCTGTCTATTTGTAGTTTGATGCCCTGGATGGAGCTGGATGGCGAATATCTCTACCTGTCTCAAGCAGAGGACATCCATGCCTACCACCTCTGTCCAGAGGGTGCAGGTTTGCAGCGTCACCCTCAAGCCATCTTCTCTGGCCACCAGGAGGATGTATGTCGCTTTGTTCTTGTTAACTCCCACATCGTCAGTGGAGGAGGGTAAGTTGTGGGCGAATGAAGGAGCCCAAAGATTGTGGCACTGAAGTTGGAAAGACTTTATGTAACTCCAGCCCAGAGCAGGGGGGTCAATCTTGCTACACAGTGTCCTTATGCTTGACTGTGTTCAACTACTGGTGTTTCCTCTCTTATAATTGGTTCTGTCCTGATAAAGCTTCTACTATACCAGAGAAGGAGCTGAGTCTCATGCTGTTGATCTTATAAAGTGTCATTTTCTCTTTGAACTTGTGTAGATGTCCATAGGATTGTTGAATTGGGATTGAATGATCAGGCAAACATGACTGATGTGCAAGTTTCCTTTCTTTCCCTGTTAGAGTCAGGGTGGCTAGACTGTTCTAATAATCAGTACTTCTGGTTAACTGGGACTGCAATAGTGCAGAAAGCTTTCTAGAGACAAGCATATGTTTATTAGACCCACTGATATAATTGTGTAGAGAGGGAAAACTGCCAAGTGTTCCAGCACAGACACACTTCCCAATTAATTTTGCATTTGACTGGCCTTTTTCTGTTACAGCAAATGACAGAACTGTTATTAATAGCTAAAACTTTATTAATATACACAGCAGTTAAGTACAGGATTGGGAGAGACAAGCACGACTGTCTGCCTGGATATCATGAGACTCCTGTGTGAACTGTAGCCCAAAATTCAGGTGAAAACGAAGGCACACATTTAAAATTCCAGGAAATGCATTGGTTGAAAAGAGTCTAAATGTCTGTGTAGTTAATTCAAAGCATAGCACCCTGCCTGACTGCTCTGAAATGAATGAAAAGCTGAGGCTTGGACATGGGTGAGAATGACCTCTCACTTTTCCCTTACTCTAGCTGTTCAGTGTACAGACATGATTCTGGCAAGCTCAAAGCAGTAGGAATAGGAATGGCTGCTCTGCTAGTTTCTGCAGCTTAACACAAAGTGAAGGGTGGAAAGATTGCCAGGAATATTTTCATATACATCAGATCAGATTTTGACTGCCCAGATGTGGGACTGCAGAACAGGTGATGTGTGAAGAACCAAGGGTTAATAATGTCGCATGAATTTCAACTCCCATGAGAGATCGATCAGTCCTGGTCTTTTTGTGGCACTCCTAAGCACTAATGGAAGGTGCATGTCCAGCTGATACAGACTCCCTGCCTGGGGATTTGTTTTCCAGAGACGGAAATATTGTCCTTCACAAGATCCATGGCTCCTACAGTGTCAAGTTCTCTGCACATGAACAGGAGGTGAACTGTGTGGATTTCCAAGGTGGCCTCATTGTCAGTGGCTCCCGGGACCGAACAGCTAAGGTGAGCAGTGATGTTTCAGCAGCTGCAGGTGCTGCTGCAGAGGTGACTCCAGAGGTCTTGTTCCATGAATATTTAAGTGTCAGCAGAACTATTGTGAGCCCTGTCCTCCTTGCAGGAGGAGCACTGTCTATCTTGGCACAGGCTCATGTCTCTGAGAAGATGCTTGCTGTGCCAGGCTTTTAAGGAAGAGATTGGGCAGTACTGTACAGCATCAGCTGCTGGCTTGAACTAGGAAGTTCAGAAGGTGGCAGCTGATATTTTGCTACTTTCACTGTGCATCTATCCACACTGTAGTGGAGATCCATGCCAGTTAGTCTGAAATTTGCTGTATGTATCTCAAGCCCACCCTTGCTTTGTGATGCAGTGTGGTTTAACATGCTCTCTCTTATATATTCAGTCTCTAAAGGGCTAGTATCATGCCTTTTTCAGATTTATGGGGTTGTGCTTTATTTATTTGTGTTTGTGGGTTTTGGTGGTGGTTTTGTTTGTTTCTAATGGTTCTTGGTTTGCAACCTAGGAGCAGAGTCAGACTATGAATATTGCTAGTTCCCATTTTTCTCTTCCAGCTGGCATCACTGGGTCCTTTGCCATAATTTTTGACTATTTCTTTTTGTGGCAGGAGCTTGTTGATTTTTGTCCAGGTTCTGGTCTGCTCCTATGTGGACCTGGAGAGTTGTTCTCCTGAGCTGTAACCAGCTCTTGTTTTAGTAGTTTAGAAAACTCCACATAGATATTTGACCCTTGTCCTGCTAGCATGATGCAGTACCTGTAGCATCTTCACAATCACTTGTTTCATTGTTGGAAGTAGTTGCTGTATGTTGAAAGCTTTGGTTGTTGCTCAGAGTATGCTGTTGGATACTCTTGGTACCTGGTTCCTATCATAGAGCATTGGTGGAGGTAAGAGGGAAAACTGCTATCCTTGTTTTGCAAGAGGGCAAACTGGAGCAAGGAAAGACTTAAATGTCTTTTTCAAGGAGTTATAGGAAGTGTGTGGAAATGGATAACTATCTGACAGACTACTGAGCAGCATGACCCTATTTATTTTCTTTGGTCCCTCTGTATACATGTACCCCTGAGTAAAATCACTCCCAAGTAAAGCAGTGTTCAGATGCAAAGAACACTACTGGGGATGCTGTTTGCCTCCTGGGAGCAAGACCTTGATGCTGCTTTGTCTCACACTTTAGCAGGGCTGCTCCTCTCTGGTCTGTGGAGCCTGTTTTCTGGGAGAGTGCCTTCTTGCTGCTTCTCTGACGGCTGGAGGACAGACATCCCCGACCTTGAGAACAAACTCCTGAAGGGGAATTTAAGACTGTTTTTCTTGGAGCTAGTGTGAGATCTTGCCCACCCAGTGCTCCCCACAGCATATGCTCTAGGGATGTTCACCTCTTATTTTTTATCTTCTCTTTTGTAGGCTGTCTTGTTTGCATGAATGAGACCCTTGGAGGGTGGAAGGGAATCCCTACCAGCCTTTTAAAGGGTCTCTAAGTGTCTAAGCTATTGAGGGCTCTGCTGAGTGTTGATTAGGACTAAGCCCTGAAGAGCTGCTAATGTACATTCCTGTGTGATAGGCAGCAGATAGTGTGCTCTGAGCAATATTTTTAACCTGTAGGAGATAGGGATGCCTTAAAGGAGTTAAGCTTTTCTGCTGCCTTTGCTGACACTAGGTGCTAAATTCTCCGCTGACAAGAATAGCCTGCAATCCTGGGCATTATCAACAAACAAACAAATAGGGCCCTCCCTGCTTTGAAGTCTTGAAGGGAAACATTGGGGGTTGGTTGCAGAGAACCGGGAGGATTGAGTCCTGTGGGCCAAGATGACTGCAAGGTAAAGAAAATGAGGGCTACAAGCAGAGGCTACAGCAAGAATCTGGGGACCTTTATTAGGACCCAGAAACAAAGGGGTGAACTTGTGGAAGGGGATGTGCATGTTTCCACTGATGGGGGAGGGCAGAGATTCTCTCACATTGGCAGTGAGCAGGGGGGGCCTATTTGAAAATAGCTTGGGGTACACTTAAGAAACTTGGTCTAAAGGGGATGGATTTATAAAAGGAAACTATTTTACAGACTAGTGAATAATTAATTTGTCAGGGATGATGCAAAGTCTTCCCACACTGTTCAAGAGAACAGATTTGAACAAAACCCACTTCTTGTCTATTTACTACAGAAGTTGAGAAAGTTGTGTCGAGTGTTGCCGCTAGAGAGCAAGTGATGATGGGGGTGCTTGCTGTGTTACCAGTGGGCTGGAAGGTCATACTCATAAGCTGAATCTTTGTGTGACTTCAAGCACTTGTTTCTGCCAGTGATTGAAGGCTCTGCTCCTCAAAAATAAATAATGGGAATTCAGGGAGAGGTAGGCATGGCAGTTTTGGCAGCTCTTCCAGCACAATATTAGCAGTGTTCTGCAATTTTGGGTGACCTGACATAACATGCATCTCTCTCTTTAGGTTTGGTCCCTGTCCGCGGGCAGAGTTGGTCAATGTCTACATACAGTGCAGACAGAGGATCGAGTGTGGTCCATTGCTATCAGCCCATTATTAAGGTAACTGAGATCTCTTTATTCCCAGTTTCCAACAGAGAGAAGTAAAGGAATTAGATAGGCTCTGTGTCCACAAGTCTTTCTGAGGCACCAGTGTGACAGTTCAGGGGCTTGATTTGGGTGAAGGCTGATCAGGTGCTTGTGCCTGCAGCAGGAGCTCAGGGAAGACCATGTGGTCTTTGTTCCTTACAGCAGTGGAGTGATCCGCTCATCCTGAGGCTGTGAAGATGGCCCTGCAATGATCCTAGTGCCTTTGGTGGGAGCTGTTCGTTCTTTGCTCTGAGTTGCTAGTTAGAAGCAGTGAGTTGGATCCTCTTGAGATTTTCTGTGCTGAAAAGATGCCAATTTGTATTCTCATTCTGTGGCAGAAGAGATGCTGAGCAAAAAGGTCCCTGCTTTTGAGAGCTGTATGCAGTGGTTAGAGCTCAGTTTTCTTTGAACATGCTGAACTGGGCAAGGTGAAGTAGAGTTCCAGGATGAGACTTTCCAGCCTCTATTGCCTGTAGCTCTGTGCTTCTAGTGCAGGTGTAATGCTACAACTGCAACTTCAGCATGGGAGGCAAGCACCATATATACACCAATGTCTTCCAGGGTCTTTTTCAAAGTGCTCCTGTTCTTGAGGAAATGAAAATCTGAGAAACTTAAACTCTCACTGTTGAAATATTACACTGACCAGCAACAGTCTGTCTCTTTGGCTCCCTGTTAAGCTGGTCTTCTGCATGCAAGAGAGATTCTTGCTCAGCATACCTCCAGGAAGAGGGGAAGAAGAGCTGTTGTTGCTGCCCATGTCTGGAACTACTGAATTTTAGGCTTGTGCAAAACCAAAAAACTTCCCACAGCTACTGTCCTTATTAGATTTCCAAGCTTTTTTTGCAGGCAGCGGAAAGGTAGTGGTACAGAGCTAATGGCATTATCAATAAATTGACACTCGAGGCCTGCTATGATTTTGCTGCTTCCTTGTCACTTTGTTCTGAGTGTTTGAGACAGATAGTGTTTTTGAAGAAGTGCCATGTGCATTAGTGCTGCTGCAAGATGTGAGATAGAAGCCCTTTGCTGTCTTTTGTGCTGCAAGGGCCCTTTTTCTAGCAGACATGCTGGCTCAGGTACCGTGGCTGGTTAGAGCCCAGTGGCATATTGCTTCCTACTCCTAAGTGATGACCTACTGTGGTGGCCTCTTGTCAGGACAGTGTTCTTCTCCCTGGTGTGCACGTTTGTGCACACTCTCTGTCACAATATTTACCCTCAGCCTCCCCACCCCGCCTTTCCTCCCTGCAGGGTGATAGATTGGAGGTGGTGGAACAGCTACCCCATGAACAAGTAGGCTGAAATTGTGCACTCATTTTTTTATGAGACCAGGGACAGTACCAGCCTCTCCCACTAGCCCACCCGACCACACCCCCTCCTTACCCCTCCATATTTTAGGGAGGGGGGTGTGGAGAATTAGAGCCAATTAGCCACGTCATTAATTCTTCAATTTGACGGCTGATATAGCAGGGCCTGAAACACGCTGCTGACCTTGTATAATGGGAACCCTGCTCCTTAACATATTGACGTTGGGAGAAGTTAATTAAAATTCCACATAGAGAAGGTGTCGGCTAACCTATAAACCTGTCGCTTCTCAGAACAAATCGCAGCCATCCTAGAAGAGAGAGAGGATCAGAGCAGGAGGGCATGTGGTGGGGGAGGGCCAGGGCAAGGGGCAGGGGAGATGAATTTTTCACTAATAGCTTTTATTGCTTGCTGTCTAATGAGGGTGAGTATCAAAAAGATGATATCTGGTTTCTAGCAGGGTCTGCTTTGCGGAGCTCTGTCATTTCTGTTTTATTTGTAAGTGCCCATATTTCACCCATATGCATTCCCTATGCACTTGTGTCTGAAGCTTTTCCTCCCTTGCAGTCGCCATCCTTCTTGCCAGAGCTTGGATGCATTTGTTTCTCGGTGAGGCTGAACATGGCCTACAACCTCCACTTCCTCATAAACATTTGACATGTTCTCCTGATTCTTCCTTCTTGCTTGTGCTGGTGTCAACTGAGATCTCCTCAGGTAGTTCTGCTGGTGTAGAACTGCTGTAGAATCAGACTCCAACCACCTAAGTATTTTGGCTCACTGCTCATCAGCCTCACCAGGACCAACCAGCTTGCTCTACTGTGGACACACTGAGCTCAGAAACAGCTCGAAGCAGTTCTGTGCAGTGGGATAGGAGCAGGGAAAGTTCCTCTAACTGTAGGCATTTGAAATTGCTTTGGAGAGGCTGCAGTTTCCCGGTCTGGAAGTTTGCTGAGACTAAAACTCTATGGAGTAGTCAGGGTTGTGTTGTTAGTGAGCCTCAGCTGTTAATGGGCAGGCCTGAAACTTTTCTTCTGGTTTTCCAGGGATACCTTCTTCTATGTGGAGCTTTGTTATAAAGTATCACATGTGCTTTTGACCCACAGCTGGGTTTTCTGCTGTCATCCTGCACCACTGAACTGCTGCCCTAATGGACAGTGCCTCTACACCTAAACTAAGTATCAGAGACCTGTGCTCTTAGAGCACAGCTCCTCTGGCTTCAGGCATCTTTCTTGGGTATTCTGCTTTGATTTGTCCACTGTTTCCCTGTGTCACTACAGAGATGATCCTGCAGTTGTGCTGAGCTGGGGAGGAGGCTTCCTTGCTCTTTGTGTAGTGGTGCTGGTTTGGATGTTTTTAGGGTCTGCAAACAGAATGATTCCCATAAGGGAGATTAAGTAGAATAAAAGGTAGTAAAAGGATACTAAGAGTGCTGGATCTTCACTTCTTGCTGTTGGGGGGATAACTGTGCTTAGTCCTTTGTATAACCTTTCCAGCCACGAAAGTGCTTTGACATCCATGTGTGTTGCTGGAGCTTTATTGCATTGGGATCCCTAACAGTGCAGGGCAGTGGGGATGGGGAGGGCATTGTGTTCCTTCTGGGTTTTTAGCAAGTCTTCTGCAAAACTTGTTGATGTGCTTGGGACAGCAGGTCTCACATTGCATGTCACATCAGGGACTAGAGAAGTATCTTTAAAGTATGATACTTAAATAAGGGTGCCCCAGCTTGCTTCAGCAACTGATCTCCAAAGCTGTCCTTCTCCATGGATTAGTAAAATGCTGTGCTTACGGAGAGGCTGTGTACCCTAAACTACATTTCTTAGCTACTTGTAACCCTCTCCACCCCCCACCCCCACCCCGAGTTCATTTGCCTTTTGAACTCTGCATCATGCAGATGTTAAACTTCCATTTACTGATGTTTACTGCAGTGACTTATGTGTGCTCAGGGACCAGGGCAAGCCTGAGTGCAGTGGACCACTTCAGATATGCAAAGTGAGGCAAACCCAGGGGTTTCTAGTAGAGTAGAAGCACCTTTGTGCTTTGTGGTTCCCCAAGGTGGCAGTAGCCAAGGAAGAGAAGGGTGCACTGTACACTGTAAACTGGAGGGGAAAGAAAAATGTGGACCTTGATGTTAAATTCATTATTATTATGGGATTCTGAAATTTTTTGGTATTGTATTAAAAGAAGTACTCAGATCTAAGCTGGTTTCTCCTGCCAGGTTTGGCCACTGGCATTTGCTATTTTAATTTTAAAATATTTGTCATGAGAGCTGGTCTTCCCATGTTGTACTAGAAGTGTGTCAGATATTAAACTGAGAAAGGAGAAGATGGAGGCACAAAAATGGTTTCCAATGTGCAACTGTAGATAGAGAGCAAGGAAACCATTGGTACAATTTGAGACAACATTGGACAACCATATAGTGCCCTTACTGTGGCATCGTTGTGCTTTGGGTGTGCAAGCCCAGGTGAAAGTCTCTTCTTTTCCTATTGTGTCATTAGTCTGCTGGAGTACCTGACTTCTCCTCATGGATGTTGCCTTGGTGAAGTACAGGTTTACTCCAGAGCCGAGGAAGGTTTGTACTAAAGACTAGCTACCTGCACTGAATGCTTAATTTAAAGCAAAAGAAGTAGTTCTGTGAGCAGCTGAATTTTAAAAGTCAGGCTGGCTCTCTCTTCTGTTTATTCAGTGTTGTTGTTGAGACCCAACTATTTGAACATGCTAATTTGAATCTCTGTTAGCCTAATTGCCTCTCCCATAGATTATTATGGGGAAGTAATGTCTGGGGAGATCTCTGCCCCTGTGGGTAACCTCAGGCAAACTTGTTGGGGAAAGGGAGGAAGAGAAATGTTACTGACAGGCACCTTGACTGAACGTTCCATTGGGAACAATCAAAATTATTAATTTTGAGGACTTCTTTTTAATGGTTGTCTAGAAACTTTTTGTGAAAGTGTAACAATCTGATCTTGCAGATTGCATTAGAGCAAAACAACCCACTTGAGTCAGAGCAACTTTGCAGTGGTTTTAACTGTACAATTGAAGCCCTTACATGCAGCAGTTAAAATGCTTGATAATGTTCCCCCACCTTCATTTCTTGCCCCGATTTTATCAGCAAATTTCCCCTACTGCATATCAGCATGAGCTGTTGGCTGTAGTGGTGCTCTGTTTTGACCTAGCTTTATACAGTTAACCTCTCTGAGTCTGCTAAGGACTTGGGACAAGTAACTGGGTTTTATTGTGGTTTGTGCATTGCTAGCAGAATAGCAGGCAATAGCTCTGCTGTCCTTAGGGATCCTTGTGGAGCCTGGTCGGTTTGAGTAATTGAGAGGGGACTCTGACCTGCAGCTGTTTCTTAAGTGGGGCAGAAAGAACCTGTTCAACTGTGAGATCCCAGGGTGGACGTGCAGAGTTAGTGGTGGCATTAACTACCAGCTCTTGCTGACCTCAGAGAGTGATCTGGATGTGGGTTTCTAGATATATGCAACAGTCTTAACTGACTTGGTGCTCTTTCACCTTAAAGCTGAAAAGCAGGAAGTGAGTATCAGTTTCTCCCCTCTGGAGCTAAAATGACACCTGTGTCTTATCCATGTGCCCTGACTGTTCCCTTGATGTTGGGAGGAAGAAGACTTTGTTTTACCTTCTTTAATTGTGTGATAATGACTCTATTTGGTCTTCTTCAC